ATATTGAAGGCAATCCCCCCCTTTTCGCCTACCATGGCTATTAGGGTAACTTGGATGATATTTTAGGTACCTCCTCTGTCTTCACACTTGGTTTGGGTGGACTTCTTTCTCTTTTTTTTTTTTGTCGTCACACCAACACACCCAACACCCCAAGGATGTTGATCCTGCGATGGAAGGGCCGAACAAATACATGTATTTGTAAAGTCGATCCCTCCTTTGAGCGTTCCACATTTGCTAACCACCAATGACGATCGCTACTTGCCCGTCAAATGGAATGCCGTTCCTATTCCGCTCTGGTCATGCAGGAGTTCAATCGAGGCATCTTCGACTACCTGATCGTAACGGACGACAGCATGGACGTCCAGGGTGTCGGCGGGGTCGCGGTAGAAGAAGCCGACGATGATGAAGACAGCGTGAGTGAGGAGAGCGTCGGAGGAGACGCGCCCGCCGGCAGCATCCGCGTGTCTGCCAGCGTTGCTCTTCAAGAAGGAGAGGATGCGATGGACCAATCATCGTCGGAGGAAGGGGAGGAGGATGTGGAGGAGGATGGGGAGGAGGGCGAGGAGGGGGAGGGGAAGGGAGAGGGAGAGGAGGAAGATAGCAGTAGCGAGGGCGATGCAGAAAAGGAGGAACCAAACAGCACAACCGGAAAGGCCGACAACAAGAAGTCCAAGAAGAAGGGAGGTAAGGGGGGGCACCGCGGAGAGGATTCGGAGTTCGGGGCTGCCCGAGGAGTCGACTTCCGCGGGGTTTCCTTCGGTGAGTGACGTCATTTATTTCCTCAAGAGGTGACGCGATTTCTTTTCCGGGGGCGGGAGGGGGGGGGCAAGTTGTGTGTGGGAATAACGTTGTGTTTCAGGGACCCCCAGATCATGGCGTGTAGAAAATAATCGCGTGGTGGGGGGGGGGGTACTCGTGTGCACGAATACCGTAGTGGTTAAATCTAGCATCCCTACGATACCGTGACGGAGCGATATGCCGGGCTTTCGCCGGCCCAGGCTACTGTACTACGTTCCACAAGGGTAAACCAGGAGCTGGCCATCATCCCTGGGGGGGGCATGTCGTGCGTGCGGACGACGCGGTGTGCCGGGAGTGGCGCAAGTTCTGGCGTCGAGCTTAAACCTCTAGGGTGGGCACAGCCCCCCCTCCGCGCAAGCGCTTTTTTTATTCCTTTTGTTTTGTCATCGAATGATGCTGATCTTCAACCAGCAGCAAAGTTTGGAACTGGTCTCCTCTTCTCGGTGGTCATGCTTGTTGCTGTCGGCGTTGTGCACCTGCTTTTATTTTTAGGAAATTTACGAAAAAAACACGAAAATGCTACCCGTTTGAGATCAGAGGGGGTCCCTGTTTGTGCCGGTGCGTGCCCTGAAAATTTCCCCAAAGTATAACCGGACCGGCACTATTCAAAGTGCTGACAATGACTTCGAAGTTCAGTGTGTGCCCGCCGAAATCATCGGCACTATCCGTGGTGTTGGCACTGTTTAACCGGCACTAAACAGGAACCCCTTGCGTATTATTGTCTGCTTGTTTTTTAATTTTTATTTTGCGGTCCTGCTCTTGTATACGCCCCTCGGTTCTTGACGCCGCCCCCCCTCACGGGTCCCCAGAGCATGTCCTTTTGCGGCGCATTCCGCTTTCAGCGGTACTGGTGTTCGTGCTCCCTTCTTGTCATTTTTTTGCTGTGCGTGCACGCTGCGCATGATGTCTTGCCCCTCTGTTTCCCGTTGTTTCTGAACTGTTTGTTCTCTGATGCGTGTCCGCTCGAAATCTTGCGTGTCTCCCGTTCACCAACCCCGTGCCGCCGCGGCTGAATGCCCAGTGCTCAACGTAGACTTCCCGCCTACGGCGTCGAGCTACACTCACCGCGTGGGCCGCACGGCTAGGGGCGGGGCCAGCGGCACCGCCCTCAGCCTTGTTCTTGCCAAGGACGAGAAGCAGTGCCGAACGCTTCAAAGGGTGCAGGTGCGTCATCTGCGGACCCCCCCCTCCCCAAGGAAGGAAGTAAGCACAGGATGCCCGAACGAACACCCTTAGCAGGATGCAGCGCATTCCGTCCATGCGACTCGCCGAATACCTCACGGCGCTTCGCGCTTGGTGATGTGAGAGCCTGGTCCGGTGAGAACCCGGCGTGCTCCGTCCCGACTTTGTAGAGATGCGACGTCAATGGTCTAACAACTACGTCATGCATGAGTATGAGTACCCCCCCCTTCCCCCCCCCTGCCACAACTCCATCTCCACAATCCGGCGCCTCTCGTAGCATGCTGAACCAACCTCTCGTCTCAAAATTGCGTTCCAACCGCGTACATAGTGCATCCCCAAAATTGAAAGTAAAAAATACCCCTTCCCCCCCCCCAAAAAAAAACCGTTACCATTCCGCGTGCTATGTCCGTACATGTGCGTGTGTGTGCGATTGGTTAAAAATACAGAGCTCGCAGCCTTCCTTGGCCACCCCGTCCCTCGACGGCGGAGGTGGCGGCGGCAACGCCCCCGGCAGCAGCCAAAAATTGAGGGTAAAAAATCCCCCCC